TATATATATATTTCTTATAGAAATTTCATGGGTGTTAGACTTCTAGCTGAAACAGGCTTATGTTGTCAAGTTCCATGGTTTTGAATGAGATTTAGCATTTTTAAGGGGTGATTTACATACAGATCAGTCAATTGATATGCATTTTTAAATCTAACTTTTTAATTTTTATATTTATTTAAAATAGAACTCTAATTTTTAAACCACATCAAAAATACCAATCACAATCATCTCTCTTAATCATTCATATTCTATAATCTAAATATGCTTTAGATAAAAATGTTTTATAAGTAAAAATTAAATTTTTAAATGTTAGATATAATAAACATATAGAAATTAATTGGTCTCAATGTAAATCCCCCATCTTTTTATTTTCATATTTACACACATAGCATATATATATCTCTATGTATGTATGTATGTAATTATGAGAGTATGGATGTGATATATGTAAATACATAAGAATTGTGTCTACGTATGTAAATGTCCCATTTTTTTAATATATAATGATTGGTTGGTTAAATGTGTTCAGTCCAGCACAAGAGGTATCACCATGGTTGCACAGGAGTTCAGTGTGGACCTGAGCAAGCCTCTTGTTTTTCAGGTAGTCTCCAGTTTAGATTTTTCGCTATTTTTTTTGCTCTAATTGGCAAAGAAGACAATAATTCTAATATGAGAAATTGCAACAAGTTTATAATGATTTGATGGTCTTAATTGAAATGATTGGAGCTTAGAAAACAAAATGGAAAATACAATTACTATGTTTATTATCCAGTCAGGCTTGCATTCCACATTTATTCCATCTATAATTTCGTATCAGCAGAATAAAACACAAGTTATACCCCATATTTTCAAATACATTAACTCTGAATCAAACACAGTATTTGAGTGATATTTCTGACATCTTGATAACACTGACATCCAAATAATAGTAATGAACCAAATGATCCTAATTAATTTGGGCATTTACATACATATCTAACATCTAAATTTTAATTTTTTACATTTATACCCACCCAAACCTTTCATATGGCATAAAAAATACCAACTTTTTGACTTTTAAAATGTGAGATACACCTTTTTATGCATAGGTAAGGAAGCTTGTATGCAAAAATTGATGTTTGGGTGTTAGATGTGCAAAATCCATATGAAATGGGTGGTATGTATGTACATTAGAATTTTATGATATGATGCAAATCTTAACAATTTCCACAAAGTAATCCCTCCATCAAAGGTGATATCTTTTCTACTAGGTTGGACACCTTGGGGAAGCCTACCAAGAATGGGTTCATCAGCCGATCGTCTGCAAGGAAGGCCCCCGGTTATTCGAAAATCATATAATGGAGGTAACTTTGTTCTTAATCAACAAAACCGGGAAATATAAAGCATACTTAATTTCTTGAAACAATTTTTTTTTACTATATTATTTTTATTTAAATCATTAGTTATTGACACGCACGAAATGGTGGGTCATTCCGGTTGTATGGCTTCCTGTTGTGAGCTGGTATTTGTTAAAGGCTATTAGGATGGGAATATCAATTCATGAAGCTGCTCCACTGGTTATGGTAGGAGTGCTAGCATGGAGCTTGCTCGAGTATTCCTTGCATAGATTTCTTTTCCACATGAATACAAAGAGTTATTGGTAGGTTACTTTCCTTTGATTATTATCAAATATTTTAGCTTGGATTTTTAATTTTAGGAAAATTTACATATGTACCACTCAATTCCTATGTATTTACATATCGATAAACTAAACGCTGATGTTTATATAGATGCCATGTTCCCTACGCATTTCACTCAATTCCTATGTATTTACATATCGATAAACTATAGATGCCATGTTCCCTACGCATTAAAAGGTGTATTCCAATTTTTAAAAGTTAAAATGGAGGTATTTTTGATTTGATAGGAAAGATTTGTCTGGTATAAATGTAAAAAAATGTTGAGAAAGAACTGCAAAGAATCAAAAGAATCACGAGAAGTAAACCAAGAATTTAACGAGGTTCGGCAATATGCCTACTCCCTCGGGAGCGATGAGTGGTGGTTTCTATTTCTTGAAGCAATTCAATCCCTATAGGGTTACAAATAATATATATATATATATACCCTTGTTGCAATTAGAAAATTACACTTTACCGTACCGTGGGGTTTAATGAGGTTTCGATCTACTCGCTCGCTCTACTCCGTTACAACATCTATCCCTTATATGTTATATGAGCCATACCTAACCAAAAAAAAAAAAATTTTAGCGGTTAGATATGTAAATACATAGGAATAGAATGTTTTGTATGTAAATTCCCCATAAATTTTTTTTTATCATTCCCTTGGATTATTTCTTAATAAACTTAAAAAATACTTCATGATTAAACACTGTGCAGGACAAACACAGTGCATTATATGCTTCATGGATGTCATCATAAGCACCCAATGGATGGTCTGCGCCTTGTTTTCCCCCCTGCCGCAACTGCTATTCTATGCGTTCCAGTTAAGTGGTCTATTGCACCTACCAATAATGTGAAATATAACAGGAATATATAGGCTCCGATTAACTTATTTTTCTACTTGTTGATATTAATAAAATTTGTGAACTAAATTGACATTTTTATAGAACCTGTGACTAAAATAACCCATCTGCAAAAAGTCAGGGGCCATTTTGACATTTTTCTTAAATAATTTTGTTGCAGTTTTGGGGTTTAATTAGGCTTATGTCAACCCCTGCTGCCACTCCTGCTATATTCTCCGGTAGCTTACTCGGATATGTGATTTATGATTGCACCCATTACTATCTCCACCATGGATCACCTTCCAACCTACCAGTTAAAAATCTCAAGGTATGAACTGCAAACAACTCTCCTTCTGGTTCCAGTCATGAACAAATTTCCATTTTTTTTTAAATTAATTAATTAATTTATTTTCTTCTCCTTCTCCTTCTCCTTTTAATCAGCGTTATCATCTTAATCATCACTTCAGAATTCAGACCAAAGGGTTTGGGATCACATCTTCATTGTGGGATGTTGTGCTGGGAACATTGCCACCACCACTGAAAATTCAGAAGAGTGGCTGATTCTCTTTACTTAAAGGTTGGGATAATTGTTCTTGATTGAACCTGATTCATCTAATTTATTTACTTTTGATTTAATATTTTTTTTGACCATATGTTATGATCGATTTATACAATATGTTTGTCTTGATTCTAATGTGTTGAGGTGAAGATTACATGTGTTAATTTCTTTGTTGGATCATGCATTGCAGCTTGGCTCTACATCTTTGAGTTTGATTTTGGTCAATGTCCATACTTGCACTAGAAGGATTTTCATTTTTGGGATGCAAGTCAGTGTGCCAAAATAGACTATAAAAAAATTGACACTGGCTGCCACGTGGCACCAATAAAAGAGCATTGACAAACATATCATAGAATTCTTATGCATACTACTTGAATATTTAACATCATCATCATCATGTTTTTTAATAGTAAAGTATATATTTTCACGTGTAAATTTATGATATCAAAATATTATAAATGTCAATATTAAACTTTGGGTCATAGATATGTGAATATATAAGAATCGTGTGGTATGTATGTAATACTTTCTTTATTTGATAAGGAAATAATTACTAATGGCTAGTCTAGAAGATACCATTGAGGCTGATTCAGCGTTAACCCAACCTCAATGCGCTCTTAATAATTTATGATATCAAAATATTATAAATGTCAATATTAAACTTTGGGGCATAGAGATGCGAATATATAAGAATCGTGTGGTATGTGTGCAATACTTTCTTTATTTTATAAGAAAATAATTACTAATGGCTAGTCTAGAAGTTATCATTGGGGCTGATTCGGCCTTAACCCAACCTCAACACGCCCTTAACTATTAAGATAATAAATAATAATAATAAATTCACAA